ATAGGCTTTTCTTATGCACTGTGTAATGGTATGCTCTAGCATTTCTTTTTACCTCTTAGAATTCCTCACTGATTTGTTTTTTTATAATAGTTTAGCGTTACTGTTTCTTTTATTAAAAAAAAACTTTTTTTTAAAAATGCTTTTTCTGGAACAGCATTTGAATGATTTTTTCCCGAAAAAATCCCAAATTTTAGTCAAAAATGAACTATCCACGTTGACTGACAAGGCGAGTGGCTCAGTTATACAGATTCAGAGGCACACTCACCGGTTTCGCCAATTTCAGAAAGTCCATGCGTTTTGACGACTTGTTCAACAAGTTGCCGTAGGCCGGCGCGATTCTCCTCGCCTTCCAGCATCTTTCGATAGATAGCAATCTCCGCATCAAGTGTCTGAAAACATTTGTCGCTCTGGATAATTTTGTCTAACAGTTCCCAAGTCAGACCCATTTTCTGTTGAATTTGTTGAATAGATTTATCCAGACAGATATGGAGACCTCTTCCAGAATTTTACGATCCCTGAATAATTAGATAGACTGGATTTGCAAATGGCCCTTTGTGAAAAATCCTTTTACTCCACCAAAATGAGCATCCAGACCTGCTTAGTATCGAGAAGCATTTGCAGTTCGAGCATCAATGCTTGGCATTCTTCGCGCATCTTGCGAATCTGTGCATCACGGTCGTTCAGCGCCGCTTCATAGGAGCGTTGGTCATCCTCCAGTTGATAGTTCAGCTCCTGAGTCTGTTTTTCCAACAGTGAATTCTGAAATTTTCTCATCATTTAATTAGGTTTGATAAACAAACAGCAAAAATAGCCATAACGGTAAGCTGTACGGTAAACTGAACAATTTCAGGTGCTAACGATGGATATCCATTTTGCCACTTTCACTTCTGCTCAACTCCAAACCTAACTCCTTGTTGTTCACCTGCACTATTTGTTCTAAGTAGATATGGCTCTTCATGAACTGAACGAACTTATTTTCGAGTTTCATATCGAACTAAGGAGTTAAGCAGCTGCTTCGTTTTACCACCACAAGCATGCTTGAAACAGGGAAATAGGTGTAGTGGAAATTACCTTTCCCACTTCTTTTTTTCATTCTTGGGAAAAGGCAGCATTCACGATGCCTGGAGGAAAAATTTTCCTCGTAAAACAAGCTGTCACTATCCTTAACAGCATCGCAGGATAGTTTTTGTGATTATTGATTGATAAACAGGCGTGATATCGGTTGGATTCCAAATATCAATTTATCACTTATACGGAATCAGCAAATCACAGATAACCTTGTTCCTCCAAAGGAAGCATGGACCCAAGAGAATAGCTTCTTCAGTCACCTTTCAAAAAGGAAATAAAAATGCCGAAGAAGTTTTAATAGGCAGAAAAAGTGTGGAAAATAAAAAAATCAAGCACTAACACGTCCTTCGAGGTCGGCTAATTTACCGCGCAGCTCGGACAATTGCACACGCAATCGTTTCACCTCCTCTTTCGCATAACCTTGCTCCAGGTTTTGCCGCGTTGATTGGGTTTGTATTTCCTGCACTTTGAGCTTGTACCATGATTCCATGTCGGTACGGTTGATGTTGCAAATCTGCAACAAGTTATTGATTTCAAAGACTCGAAAAAGTTAGAAAGTCGAGAATCGCTCTTTTTCTGCTCTTTACGAAAAGCGAAGGCACTCGGGAAGTAGCAAGTGCCATTGGCAAGACTGTCGATGACTCCTTTTTTTAGAAGCAAGTTGATGGCAGTTTCGATTCTCTGGCATGCGCCATTATCAGTCTGCCATCGAAAAGAATGAAATAATCGTAGAGAGACTGGTTATCGACTGCTAGCAAATTCAAAAATAAAAAAAAATTTAAAATCTGTTGAAAAAGAACAGCGAACAAACTTGGTCATATTCGGCACGAATATCGCGGATTGCTGATGACAATTCGTTCTTGAAGTATTCGCGATTTTCAGGTGTTGTATCGCGAGAAGCGAGTGCTTGGAGTTCACTGATTTCTTGGTCATGCACACGACGCATGAAGTCGATTTCTTCAAGCAGCGTTTGCACCTGGTTTTGGAAGTCGATACGATTCAGCGTTTCCTGATCCAGTTCCTGAAAAATCAACTGGGCATTTACAGTACAGCGCGTCACGATATATCCAGTAAGATGTAGTTTACAGTATGTCATTGAATATCAGCACAAGACAGGTTTCCACCTCAGTTTTTTTCGGTTTTATATAAATAAATGAAGAAAAATGAGGATGGAAAGAAGGATAAGCTGACTTACCGATCGTGCTTTGTTGAGTTCGTTGACGAAGTACATGTTGTCTTTCTTGATGCGGCTTACTTCCTCCTC